CTATTTATTATTATTATTAAATCTTTATTGCATGTAATTCAACTACAAATACAGTCATGTACTGAAGACATCCGGGTACCCTGGGTCTGGCTTGCTCTACATTGAGACAGTCTCAGTGTAGAGCACGCCAGATCCAGGGTACCCGGATAGTACTGAAGGCAGTCTTTTTCATGGAGAAAAAATCTGATAAATGAAATAGTGTTGAGCAGTAAAAATAATAACATTTCTGAGTGATACAGTACATTGTGTGATATGTAGTTCTGGGTGATACATGTTACATCAAAGCTTTACATATTGTTACAGGACTATGACATGAATCTACGTGAATGACAATATGAAACGACTATTGTGTACGTCGGTAATCGGCGAGCTGTAGCGGCTGTTTAATCTGCTGTCGGCACTCGTGTAAAACGACTATTTTTACTTTATATATAAATCTAAAGTATATATGACTCTAAAAAGCTAAAACTACTTGTCACAGATTGTCCTTAAAAAAAAAGCGTCCTTGAAATGTCATTGAAAAATAATTAACACTTTTGTGGGCACCATATGTGACCGATTTCAAGCTTATTAGTGATACGTGGGCAGGGGACATCATAGGCATTTTTTCTTGTCATGCTACTGTGACCCGTAATATATTTACTCTCGCTGTTAAATGTCACAATTTCAATTTCATAATTGGACACGTGCTAACACTGATCTACCGCTATGTTACAGGTAATTATGGTACGACTAGCGAAAGATTCAGATTCAGAGATCTTTCACGTCAAACTGCTGCCGGCAATGCGCTCTCTGAATTAAACGCATAGTTTCAAGTAAATACTATTTCATTAATCGGCTGGACATGCAGCTGCATATGTCACGTAAGATAAATACCACTATACATAGTCTGATTTAAAATTTTATTATTGTCACGTGAGCAAGATTCAGACTTGTTATTTATACCAAGCTACTGCAATCAGTATTTGCTCTTTTAAAACTAATAATAACAAAATGCCATTTTAAAGAGGACTTTCCGGTTATTTTTCATACTCTCTGACATCACTATTAACTTTAATAGAAAACACGTCAAAGTGTTCATGTTCAAGGGTGCGCGCATATGTATGTATGTATGTATGTACGTACGTACATATGTATGCAGGGAATATCTCATTATGATTAAAGAAACACCATTCTGATTTGCATAACAACTACTTTCTATTATCCTTCAGCAATCACTTGAATTCAATTAATGTTCTCGTGCTGTAGCTCTGATAACGTAACACTGATATGACGTTTTCCGATATTACATGCCAAAATCAGCCACCGTATACTATATACATTCCTTATTCGAATATATTTGAATGATAAGTGGGAGTTTTCTGGCTGGAATGAGTAAATCCTCCAATACATTAGCGGCGTATTTTAGACCGCTATTACCTATTAAGGAGAAAAATAACTTCATAATAGAAGTAGTATCACAATAATCAGTTGAAGCCTCGACTGATAATTATCTATACTTATTTGATATAATAAATAGAAGATCACAAATATATACGAATTTGATTTAAGAACACCCACACACGCACACATACTCCGACTGTTCGCCAAAGAAATTAAAACATATCACGGCGCATAACACGAGAGACAACACGAAACAAACATATCACAATTTGGATTTGACCAAATCAAATGGTTACACTGTAAAATAAAGCAACAGAAATCAAAACAAACAAACAACGAGGTATGTGGCGAGCAGAAGACTGCACCACGCTCGCTAAAAACCGGCCACAATATTTCTACAAACATTCACTAAATATAAAGTGAAGTGAACACGCACGAGTCACCTTTGCATTTACTCGTCCTTTGCATCACTGACATCGACGCCCTTCTCCAGAATCGCACACGAACTCGAGTGAACAAACTGGCAAACGAAAATATACTAATACATGTACCACGAACATATATATATAGGTATACAGTGGTGCCCACTTTATCGGGCCTCGGATAAACGGTCGCACCGCTTAAACGACATGTTTTAAAAGAACAATCCTTGCGCGCGTTGTCGTGTTCACCGCTTAAACGGGACCACCGTTTAATCGGGACATTTTTCATGCTTCCCGGCCTGTCCAGATAAAGCGGGAACCACTGCATTCACGGCGTTGTCATAGAAACACGTATACATCAGCACACACGTTCCGTGCTATTACATCTTAACAGCTAGCCACTCGGCTCGTCTTTCTGCCCACTCTCGTGGAACGAACGATATCCTTATACGCACTATTAACGCCGAAAATGGAAGCAATCAGCAAATAGTGAACAGTCAACATTAAAAGATTCCGAATAAGCTCTAGAACGGCTAAAGGCATGTTAAACAGCTCTCTAAACTCTATATTCGCAGACAACACATCGCATCAAGCATCACACTAACCTACTATAGTAGCACACAACATAGAGCTCTCCGGCAGAAGGCACAATGAGATACACGAGTTCACGACGAAAACTGCATATAGACGGCGCGTTTTAACTGCTATATTTTCTTAAAGCTCTCGTTCACTGAGCAGTATATATAATAACCAGTTATTACACCCCATCCTCCATTCATTATATACAGCTTAGTGGTCTACATAGTTCTACCATTGTAGCCGCCCTCCGCTTCCGTCACAGGTTTCTGCAGCGGGATAGAAGGGGTTACACTGGTGGAGCTAGTTTCTACACAGCTATATGTGTTATGCTAATATTAGAGTAATGCCCTAGACATCCGATATACGTGTGTATATACAGGATAACTATGAATAATGTTAGCACACCAGGCCGGTGGTCGCAGGTTATGGTGTAGCGGGGGCTTAAAATCGTGGGCTCGGCCATCTTCATAAAACTGAATTTCAGGCAGTCGCATAACAATAAGAATACTCCATCATTTACTGGAGATAAGAAACAACATAATCTTCTGCGCGGGATGTAACCCGCAGGGCTCACTTGATGGCAAAACCCAGGCTTTACAAGAAAATTAAATTTTACAAAGAACCAGATTTTAAGGGAAATGCTTCTCCGCTTTAGCCCCCCTAAATCTTTAGTAAATAAAACATGAAGAAGAGATTTTGACATATTTGTGCGAAATAGCGTTCCCCGGCATTTAAAAGCACACATTTGAATAACACGACAGACAATATTGCACAAATATATATCACACTGCCACATAAATTTTTATGTGGACATAATTATATCTATATTTATATATTATATATTAGGATTTGTTTTCAGAATATACGTAATAGAGAGTACGATGCAATGACATCAAGTGCTGTAATCAACTATATATATATATATATATATATATATATATATATATATATATATATATATATATATCTAGATATCGATGACAAATAGTTTAATACGAGCAGCAGGCAGGCAATATTGCACGGGCCAGGCGCTGACGCACGTCGCCGCACAGTCTATAGATATGTAGTTGAAACGGTATATTATTGGTAGTTATGAAGCCACCAATAACAGGTACAGAACAGGTTTTGATACGTGTTACATTCCCACTGCACCTTAAGCTGCATATATATATATATATATATATATATATATATAACTATATACATATATTCGCTGTGTGTGGAGTCCAAGAGAAAACTTACACACACACGTTGTGTTCAGCAGAGCCACATTGATTCGCATGTTTTACAAGGGCATAGTCCTACTATTAGCAAGCTCTGTTGTTAACCACTCATCCTAGCAGCAGGACCCATCTCACGTTAACCACTACGACACACGTACATTACAAAGGTTGACTTGGAACAGAGCGGTAAGAGATGGCAACACGGCTACATGGAAGACCTGTTTTGAATATGACTGCATCGGTTACTAACGACCTGCTAGCACGCTTCCCCCACGTTCCAACTCCGGCCTCTCCGACCGGGCAGAAATCGACAAGCTTGCAATGACACCAACGACGCACTGCGCAAATCTCTCGATATCTTCAGGTGAAATCAAAAGCCATTGAGCAGAGCGTACGTCAAAAACATGGCTTGAGGTTCACGGGGCCAAGCAGGCACGTAGCGCCACCTGGAGTGACTCCCTTGACTTCGTTTAGACTCACGAAATCTTCTCACGTTCGACCTCACGGCAACAGGAACGCACAGAAATGCGTTTGTTTAAACACCGACTTGCCTAACAGTTGTCTGCTTTGCTTAGCGTGAACGCATTTTGTCTAGGTGCTACTGTCCATTCACCGGATGGCATATGCAAACCACATCACCTACAGTCATCAAGCACACAAACGATACATTCAACACGAAATTTAGCTGGCCACTTTCACCTAGTAGCTGAGCCTCACAGCTATGTAGCATCTGAGTATACTTCCTTCGCGACTGTACAATGATTATGCTTGTGTTGCTGGTGTAATTTAAAATACATATATCTCCAGCACAGGGAATGTGTATGGGATGAGCAACCAAGTAAAAGCACAACTACTACCGAGGCCACTTAACGACACGTACGCTGTCACTTGGCAGTGGGCTCTGGCAAATCATTTACAACATATTACACATTAAAATTGCACTAGCACAGAATTTGCTATATATGGACTCGTAGTAGACGACAGTTGGATTCATTACACTGCCTGTAGCTTAGTCCTTTCTGTAGCGTACACTGTATGTAGTTACACTGTGTGTAGTTTACACTGTATGTAGTTACACTATGTGTAGTTTACACTGTATGTAGTTACACTATGTGTAGTTTACACTGTATGTAGTTACACTATGACTATGTGTAGTTTACACTGTATGTAGTTACACTATGTGTAGTTTACACTGTATGTAGTTACACTATGTGTAGTTTACACTGTATGTAGTTACACTGTATGTACTTACACTGTGTATAATTACACTGTATGTACTTACACTGTGTATAATTACACTGTATATAGTTACATTATATGTAGTTTACACTATGTGTAGTGTCAAAGTAATATTTTGAATCCTGAAGATCCAGACTTAGATAAACCAACCCACTTAAAAGACTGGAATCTTGTCTCGCGGTGTTTCCAAAAGATCATCGTCTAAAGTCAAGAGGATCTGAAATGTAGAAACACTCTTTATTAATTCAATCGATTGTCAGCCAATGTGAGGAACAGAATTATAGGTAAAAGCACATAGTATAACAAGTGATACAGTTAAAGAATCCAAACTGAATATTTGAAATATAGGCAACACATTCCATCAGCAAAACCTTAGCCTTAACATAACACATAAATATTGATGACCTTTTTTGCATTCAATGCAGAAAGCTCACACATTGCTACCAGTCACGCAACATTGATATACATACCATACATCACATACGCCTCGATGATACGCGTATAAAAACAAAATTACTTGACGAAACTGACCATGGCAAACATTTTCGCCTTCAACGCCACCTACCATGAAAGAGAAGAACATGCTTGTGGCAGACAGGAAGTGCCAGACGTCGTGTTCGTCGTAGAATTCCAGAATCATGCAGTCGCGGTTCCCTTCCCTCGACTTGGCCGCTGTAAGCTGCAGAGGTAAAACACAGGTGGCTCGCAGATTTATTAAGTGCATGCGTGAAATGGGTGTGGGGGATCAGTGGAAGGCGCTGTGCGATATATAAATGTATGCTACACACGTATACCTTGTCAAATGTCAAATAAATATACTTTAGCAAGATTGTGAGCAAACATATCAGAGCAAAGTTTAATTAATTTTACGTTACATTTTGTGTGTGTGTACATTTTGCCTTGTGTTTGAAAACAACAACAGCTTGAAAGTCTGATATGATCTTACCTCCCAGGTAGACAGTTTTGACAGGAAGAAGTAAAGAGCACAGCCCCACACTATTGTCGCCAAGCATATGAAGAAGAGAGCCAATTTTAGAATTCTTTCGCCTGACCGCAACTGAAATTAAATATACACCGTGTGTTAGTGAATATTCTCAACAATACCACGTATGAAATACATAACCAAAGTGCGAAATTAACGGGAGTCCGGCGTCAAATACTCCCCGATTTACTGTCGGAATCCCTGATTTGACATATGCAGGAGTCCGTGTGACTCCCTGAAAATTCTGCCATACTAACTAGTTCGTTCCATAGCACGGCCTCGCAGAATTACTGTATTTGTTCAGCTAATGTCCAAAGAAAATTTGGCAGACGTGCAACTGCATGAATTCTCAAAATAAGCACATGCGTTATTGTTAATATCATTAATTTTGAACTTCAGACTGCGGACTCCCTCATTTTGCTGCGGACTCCCTCTTTTTGAGGGTAGGGGACTCCCTTGTTCAAAAGTTAATTTCTACCCCTGCATAACACACACACGAAATCACACAATCACACTTACATACAACTATGTCTTTCGGTGGAAAATCTTACCTTCATGATGATGTAGAAGAGCACATACATAAGAAGGTTGACAATAAATATCGACAACAAATACGAGTCAAAGTCCTTGGGACGTGTCAAGACACCATATAGAGCCCTGAAATAAACACAAGAGCACCTTTAGCAATTCTCCTCACTATCTTTATTTTAGATAATTACTGCACTGATTGTTTAAAATCTGCTAGTTAGATGTATTTGTAGAGGATGGCAAATTCTATAGTCCTGAACTAATTCAGAATTCTAGGGTACACAGTAGGGTTGCAACGGGTATAAGATTTTTACAGTACAATTAACACAGTTCCTTTAGTGAATTTAAATTTTTTTTTTCTATTTAAAAAATAAAAATAAATTACACACCCATGTATATATATATATATATATATATATATAGCTAACTCATTTATAAAATTTGCATATAGGCTTTCAACTACAAGAAAAATGTTTAAATTGATTTCTCATATTTACACTGCCATAATTAACACCATTTTTATGTCGATATATATCGATATGGCATGCCTAAAAACAAACACGCAATACATGTCTAACATAATTTTGCCATCACCTAACAAGCTCTATTCTAGCAATAAAGTAAGGCGTCGGTGAGTTATAGGCACAGCTGGCCCTACGCCGAGCTCACACGCGAGCGAAAATTACTCACAATGAAAGATTGATGAGACATCCAACGATGAGCAGCACCATACGATCCTGCAACACAATCCACCGATGATTACCAAACCTTTGCGGCGCTTCCCCAGCTTACTTTACTAGCAGTCGTATCGTCATGGATACGCATAAATCAATTGTCACCCCTCCCCCCCACCACACACACACACACGCACCACCACCACCCCCGGAAACGTTTGCGCCACAATTGTTATTCCATCGGTCGTAAACGCCACTCAAACTACAGATGTAGTCACGCACGCAATTCGTCATTGTATTAGCTGAGTAACGCGCTAGCCGAGCGATTGCTGCTAGGGGTGGGACGATATGGGTAGCTCACGATACGATCCGTATCACGATACGATATATCGTGACACTTTCAGTGGAATCTATACCTAGCGAATTACACACTTAACCTGTACTTGGGCAATCACATGAATGCTTACAAATCAGTATCGTGGAGTGCTTTGTGGAATGTACTGAAAATCAAATCAAGCTTCTTTTGTTTTCCGATAAACCTATGCTACAAAATGATATATGTTATGGATTATATCAATGGATTACATTCACAATGGATTATATTCAGTAGAGTATCGATACGCGTATCGCGAATAGTCAAACGTATCTATATGCATATCGCCGTGGCTTATATCATGATATGTCGATATACTGATGAATCGTCCGACCCCTAGTCGCTGCTAGAGGACGTGGGGGTCGATTCACGCAGAGGCAATCGCGAGGCGTGGCGAGACGTACCATGTACATCGGGCGAGATGGCGTCTGCATTTCGTTCTTCAGCTGAAGGTAGACTCGCTGGAAGATTCCAGTGTCTGAAACGGTGCGCCACGCATACGCATTACTGATTGGCACATGGACATAGACATGGACACAGACACACGTGGAAAGACATAGACACAGACCCAGGCATGGACACAGCTACTGTCGTAAGAATCTTGATCGTGAAAAAAATCAATATACAAAGCGCACTTCGATTTTTAGTGTTGCTCATCATTAAAGATTCCATGAACAGGGTGTTTTCTATTATTGTGGCTTTATATTTTATATTCAAACGGGCCGCACCGGTCGACAGACTGCAACACGCAAAAGGAAAAACACTATTATTACAAGCAACAGAAACATCATCTGACTAACTAGCTGGCTAGCTATTACTCAATCATGACTGCCTAATGGGAAACACGTAAATTGCAAAAAAATCACATAAATCTAATTATGGATGCATGACTCACCGAGCTTCCAGCGTCCCATGTAGTAGATCTGTGTGGATAGTCCCAGCATGGCCATGACGTGCACGATGAAGAACAAAGCCCAGAACCACACCTTGCTGTAGACCTGCACAACGAATTACACGTGTTGTAATCACACCACAACTCACTAGTACAGGTCACAGAAACAAAAATTAGTCTTAACGTGTCTTATCGTTAAATTTTTCTCGTAGACCAGACCTCTTAAAACTCGTAGCTTTACCATGTGTTTGTCAACGGTCTGTTAAAAAAGTAAATGTTAAGACTAATCTCAGGGCTAATTTTGTTTTGATAATGGGCCTCAGGATATCCCTGATGGAACATTACGTAATACAATTAATATTTAAAAACTTACGTAAAACTTAATTATGATATAATTAACCTAAATGACTTTTCCCAGTGTGCACTATAAATTTAAGGGATTTCTTATTTAGGCTTTGTTATGTAAAGTACTAAAACTCACTTATCAGGCAGGCCAATGGTCGTACTTGTGATTTGTTGAATACAATTGTGAGGATTTAGGAAAGATTTACTACAACGCTAAGTTGATAGTATAAAATTTTTTAACGTGAATCACGTCGAGAATCACAACTGGCCATCAAAAAATGTTTTGCACTCTTTGCTCTTCACTGTTTTCCACAAGTTTATGGTCATTTCAAGCCTCAGGGTGCAACCCACCGGCACCCGCACACAGACAAAACGACGCAACAACGCAATCACGCAATTACGGCAACAAAAATTTCAAATCCATTTACGGCATCACTATCCCGTTTACAGCGCGCACCGTACCACCCCCGTACACGCACCGATGCTTATTCCCCGACGCCGACACCGAAATCATTACCGATTCCTACACTCCCGCGATGCACGTAATTTCCATATACAGCCCCGCAGAGTAAATCAACACTATAAAGGAGGGCTCTGCCCGCGGCGGCGGAGGACGGAGCGGAGGGAGGTATACTTACGACTCCAAGAACTGCGAGGAAGATGATGACTGCAAACGCTGCGAATGCGGCGTAGGCGTTGGCGTTGATGTCGGGGTGGCGACTCTGGTAGATCTTCAGCATGCACAGTCCGGCGATTATGTACATGAACGAGGTGTCTGCAAAACGCCCCGCGCGCGCACGCACGTTTTACGACTCGCGCAGTGCAAACAGACGCACAATGCGCATCGCGTACAACGGAGGACGGTGGGCATAGAAATACACAGCGGGGAAGGGTTTAATGTGAAAATGTACAGTGAGGGTAGTAGTACATACATACATGCATACATATGCAGACATGCATGCACACACTCACGCACGCACACAAACATAACATACAGTCGAAACTTGTTGGCACTAACATAAACACAAACTACAGTAATACCAAAAAAAATAATTCAAAAAAAAATCGTCGAAGACCGACAGGGCGCTTACACCAACCACACCTACTATGCAAACGAATCTCTCCGCTTCTCGCGCATGCACATACATGTACAGTTTGTACACACACATATATATTATTATTCAACGAGGAAACGTAAGCTGCTAGGAACTAGGGGTAGGGTTTTCGAGCTAATTTAGGTTATGAATTGCGCTACGCAGTAAAAAGGTGTCATGGTTTCAATGGGTGCGCTATTTTAGAACATTATATTTATTAAAAAATGTTTTAAGAACTAACCGACTACAGTTTGATTAGAAATGACGGTGGCGGTCACTTCAGAGCGCACGATCTGAGAAGTGTGCGGCGAGAAACCATAGTGTCCGACACCAAGGCTACAGACGCGAGGGTATTTCTTTATGTTGTTTAGGTCAAATTTTAAAGAGCTAAAAGATTGTAATATCTATCGAAGCTACATATCAGTTTCAGTTATAATTTATGGATAAATTTGGGTCCACTAAAAATGAATATCGCGTCGTTAACATAGGCCTTTATGTGTATCAATATAATTGCATTCTTTTTTTGTGGATTAGTCCCTCGTTCATTTACCCTGCAAAATGACTACAAGTGCGCAAATACCAACTATTCAAGGCGTGGAACAGCTGACGGTCGCGGAGTGGTCATGGCGGCGCGTTCAAATTTCGTAATGCGTTGATGTGTAAATATTAATCTAGTATCTGGTGACAAAATAACATGGTGGGTATAGAGCGATTTGTTTAATAGCAGTAAGTCAGTTGTATTGTCTATGTAAATATACTAGAGCTACTGTCCCTTTAGATAATTATATATCTTTCCTCTAAATATCTTATATATATATCTCTCTATAAATAATACATCTCTATATTATTATTATATATCTTTCCTTTATATATATATATATATATATATATATATATATACTATATTATATATATAATGATATTATTCATATATATTATTATATATTATATAAATAAGATGGTAATAGTTAACATCTTTGCTCACTCCACAACACTGAAGTTGCTGTAGGTCTGGAGGGCGAGGACGTCGTAGGCACCAGCTGAGGGCAGGTCCCTCCCATGATGAGAGCGATGCCTCATGCGCGTAGAAGAGACCGGAAGTGCTGTGGATCGCACAGGGCAGCGGGCAAGCTCACACAGCCCGACCGTGTACGCTGCACCGGCGCTGCTGGTAGGCAAGCACGTCACCTGGCAGCTCGTCGGAAGCAATCGCGTGCTTGTAACTGGGTGTAGGGGGTTCATGTGGCGGCAGTTCGTCGGCAAGCGAAGCAGGCAGCGAGACGATGGGCAAGCAGTAGCGCAGGCAGCTTCTATGAGCTGCAACACAGCAACCGCCAGCAGCAGCAACAGCAAGGAACTAGGCACAGCACCACCTGAGCAGGCTACAAGGACTAACCAAACCGGACCATCGGGAGGCGAGCAGCAGCAGCAGCATCTGAACCACCAACCAGCAGCAACCGCTGGCCGGTCTGGGCCGGGGCCTTGGAGCCGAATTCTCAAACCTGACCACCACCACCAACCCATACACAACCATCATCCAGCAGCACCCACAGCAACGCACCAGCACCGACACACCCATCATCATCAATCAGACAGCAGCAAGCAAGGCAGCAGCAACAACCACACAGCAGCAGCAGCCGCTGCGACCGCTGCCGGCTGCCGCCGCATGGCCAAGCTTGGGAATATTTTTTTTGTTCGCGGGCCGCGCGAGCGCCCCCGTGGGCGCATGAATTTTTGGTCGGTGTTTTTCAAATATAGAAAGCATGCGTGCCAAGAGGACGCACCACCACCAGCAGCACTATCAGCTACCACCAAACCGACAAAACCAACCGGGACAACCCCGACCAGCAGTCAAACCTACTCACCAAGCAGCGAAAGAAAACCACTCTTTACCAAAAAAGAAACAGCTTAGCAGCAACGACAAAACAACACGACCGATCTACACGCACCCACGCACACAACCATCATCAATCAGTAAGGGCAGCGGGCAGCAGCAGGCAGCAGCAGCAGCACAACCACAACACAGCACACAGCAGCACGCGCTGACACCGCTGCCCCAAAATCAAGGGCCGGGGGGCCAAAACATGAATGCTGCCAGAAAATGGGATGTTTGGCGCGCCAGCAGCACCACCACCGCCGCCGCCGCCAAAACCACCACCACCACCACCACCAGCAGCAGCAGCAGCATCAGCAGCAGCAGCAGCAGTCGCAGCAGTGGGCGGCGGGCGATACGAACCTGCGATAGATCAGTCCGAGGAAGAGCAGGCCCAGCATGACGTAGCCGGCGTTGCTGAAGACGTTGTTGAACGCGCTCAGCACTCCCAGCGGATGCGCGCACAGGAAGTTGTAGTAGCAGATGTCCTCGTTACCCGTCACGTGCAGGACCTGAAGCCAATTAATTTATTAATTAACGAGGCAACGGGCGACGCCGTGCCGTGAAACGATGTGTTCGGTTGAGGACACGCTCGGGATACAGGCGTTCATGCAGACGACACGCGGCAATCGGCTGTCGACGAGGGAGGCAGCCGACATTACTGTTAACAGCTAGCAGACGACACGCGGCGACCTCGACCCCTCCTCCCCCCCCCAAGAGAGATCCGGGGGCGGGAAGACGCTCTGATGCGACACTTTGGCGCCCTCTGGTGGTCTGGTATGCCGAGCACGATTAAACACATGACCTTGTCTGTCCAGGATGCCTGTGGCGATGACGTGTCAATGTTACGCAAGCTAAAAATCTCCATAGCTACCATCTACTGATGGTTGTCAACATTGCAAAAGCTATGACGACGTTGAAATCTTTATACCCGCTAGCTACTGATGGTTGTCAATATTTCTCAAGATATAACGTGTCGTAGAAGGCGTCGTGGAATAAATCTGTCCAACCCCGAAATGGAAAACGGACATTAAAAAGAAAATTTTATCATTTTTTATAACCACGTTAAAATATGCATGCCCAGTGCCCACTAGCTAGTGATGGCTGCCAAACATTTCGCAAGTTAGTATCACGTTAAAATATTCATACCCGCTAGCTACTGACGGTTGTCAATATTCCGTAACCTAGTACAACATTTAAATCTTCATAGCTACTAGCTAGTGATGATTGTAACATTTCACAAGCTATAACCACGTTGAAATCTGCATACCTACTAACTACTGATGATTGTCAATATTCCGTAGGTTAGTACAGTATACACATTTTCACGTCTGTTAGCTATACTGACACCTGGTTACAGCAGTGTAGGTACGCCTCACATGGAACAGCAGCCTGTAATGCATGCAGTCCAGGAATACCAGACGAATGACTTACCTCCTGGTACATGATCACTAGCTGAACCCTGTAATGCAGTGGTTCTTAACCTTTTTGAGTCATGGACCCCTTTGAGAATAGGGTAAAAGCTACAGACCCCTCCACAGAATGAAAGTGTCAATGACACTGTAGCTCACCACAAAAAGGACACAAATGAGTGAGTGAGAAGAAGTCAGTTTTAATTGAGCAACCATCGACGTACATTATAGAAACGAAGAGTATATATGGGAGAATGCCCATTATATACTCTTGATAATTATGTGTAATTTTTTATGTGAAAATAAATGTTTGAGATGTGAAAGTCTGAGATGTGGGCGAGTGATGGCGTTACACCTAAATGATCGCCATTTAACGTTTTTATAATATTCAGATTTAGGCACTGCCTAAAAGCGGAGCTCCCAATGTGTAACGTGTACGATTGAGAGGATACGCTTATTCCACGTAGCTGCTATATACCATGTGACAATGGTGTTTCCCTGCCCATAACACAACTTTTATCAAAGATTAATTGGTTGCATGGAAGTGTTTACTTCGTATGATTTTTTCTAGGCGGTAGCACACGGTTGCCATCTGTATATTGCAATAATAATTTATAAACCAAAATGAATCACAATTTGTGACGGTAGATGGCGCTATACCCGCTTTGATGTTTCTTAGCGATGGCGTTCGAAATAAATAGGTTATGCTGCGTTCCGACATGTTTTGTAAAACTTTAATCTAATATAGACGTTTTATCGGCAGGGTGGAGAGGAAATACCAATTTTGTATAAGATATTGTCAATGAAATCTTGTAAAACGAACCAGACGAGTGTGACACCACAGACTGTTTGTTATCTGCGTGTCTATATAATATGCTATATAATTGCCAAAATCGACCTAATTTGCATAATTTTTTTTTAAATATCAAAACCCCTAGCCCTTATTCATTCACATACCAAAAATGAGCAAAATCCGTTGAACCTGAACTGACTAATGGCAATTCCCATTTTTGCCAAAAAATTGCCGTGGCTCGAAAGTACGTCGACTGGCGTGCTCCAAAATAGGACGTTCAATATGGGAGCATAGCAGTAACAACTATACCCAATTTCAAACATGTGGGTCAAACGGTTCCTCAGTTATCGTTGACCGTAGCCAAATGTTGACAAAAGGACGGACGGACGGACGTACGACGGACGACGACCCATGGCAATAGCTCAGCTTGACGATGTCAAGGTGAGCTAAAAATGCACATGAGCATATATACACAAAATTTAGCATGCGCCTTGTTCACGGACCCCAAAGGGGTCCTTGGACCACAGGTTAAGAACACCCGCTGCAATGCATGCAGTTCATGTATACAAATGGCTCACCTCCTGGTACGTGATCACCAGTTGAACAACGGGCAGAGAGTAAAAGATGGAGATGGTGATCAGATGCCAATGGTAGAGCTTGTATTTCTTGGTCAGCACTCGCCTGTCCTTGCGCGCCAGGTCGGCAACGTAGAGGAAGGTCTGCAACATAACAAGGAGGTCGGCACCAACGATCAGCAATGACGCGCTGTATCAACCGCTCACGTGACAAAAGCAGCTATTGCAAGAGCTCGCCTTACTTTTGCAATAAAATCAGATTTTGCAAGAACTCGCCAACTTTTCCAATAAAAGCAGATTTTGCAAGAGCTCGTAAACTTTTCCAATAAAAGCAGTTTTTGTCGGGACTATTAAAAACTTTTGGGATAAAAACAGCTTTTGCCAGGCCTCGCCAGTTTTGTGATAGTAAATCAACAGCTTTTGTAAGTGCTGTGTAGCACTTTTGTAGTAAAATGCACCAGCCTTTACAATTAAGCCAGCTCCCTACTGTTTTGCAATACTGTTCAACCGTGATTGTAATTTAATTTATTTTAATACGTAACCAGGTGATTTTTTATTAGATAAGTGGTGCATTCTGACAAAAGCAGTTTATCTCTCATTACTGGTTCACAATCTCTTATCTGCAATTCTGAAATTTGAAAACCACGAAAACAGAGTTCTTTTTACGAAGCGTGTGCACAATGTGACCAATTGGTGCTGAAGACAAACTAACGTGGCCGATGCTGGACCCAAGCAAGTGTGATGCGTCAGATGAGTTGTGTTTTCGTTTTTTTTTGTAATTTATAAATATTAATGTGTTTGCCTAAGGTGTGCTGTTACATACCACACCAGCATATTACTATAATATACAGTATGTGTCGTACTACCGTTCAGCAATCTAAACTCGGTCAAAAATCTTCCTAAACTCTGAAACATGTCTAGCCCAAGGGCTTCGTGTACAGGGCAGCTTTTATTACATCCGCAGTTCCTACACGTTTTAGCATCTTTGCGAAAACTTGACTTGACAGCAAAGACGACATCAATTTATGATACATGGATGAGTACGCTCATGCACTTCACTACGTCAATTTTAAATTACATTTATCTACATAGAATCATATATTATGTAAGATATAAAATGATGTGACATGCTGTAACATGATTACAATGATGAGGACGACAGTATATGTGATGTAGCGCAGAGGGGAGAGGGGGGGTGTCGCATGGCACGGCGTTTTGTGCCATGACGTGAAGTGACATGATGTTATATGATACGACACATGAAAAAAATATACATATATTCGCTATCCAACTTGCATCAGATATTTGCTGTCGAATGGGAACCACTCGACTATTATATTACACATCAACTAGACGACACAGAAACCGTGTGCTCGGTCGGTGAGATGCAGTAACAACACCACTATCAAGTACACAGAACATACTCTACAATATATATATATATATACAACTACCTACATAGGTAGTCACAACAAAACAAGTGCACGAGTCGAATTCGCTCGTAAAAGTAGTTAGTAAAAAACGTAAACGAATACGCAATCGAAACAGAAAATGTAAAACCAAGTCGGATCACACGTGTTGCAGTCACTACGAACGACAGCAGAGCAAAATAAATCAGTGCTACTCTAAGCAGACGCGGCCGCCACCGCTGCCATGCCGTGAACGACAACGACGGCGACGACAGCGGCTACGATGTGCGAGAGACGGACCAACCTTCGAGCGCTCTTCCTGCATCTACATTACGCGCGACCCATGAAAAGAAACGTGGAATCTCGGCATTAACGAGGGAGTATACGTCGACCAGGATCTCGGCCGCTAATTGCAAGCACCCCCGAGGCGCGCATCCGCGATTGAATTCGGAATTCTCGCGAGACAGAGGAACGCGCATCGAAGATCCGATTCGCGGGGGTGAGCTAACTCACTCACTTGCGCGCGAGTGATATATGAACTAACGCCCCGAGAGAGCAATCAATTGTCAACGGCTCAACGCAGTGTCGCAAACAGCAGCGGTGCCGCTGTCTCCGACGTGTAGTCTCCGGATGGATGCACGGCCGTCCGCTGTCACCGTTAGATGCAGTTAGAGAGTTAGAACCGGCACGTGTGCAATCGCGGGTAACTCTAATCTTACTTTAGTCTGGGATGAGTACAGGTACGGTATAGAGTACCGAAGTGTGACGTCACGTTGGCAAGACAACCTACGGGGGCTGGTTCTACACAAGCCACTGGCTCCATAACATTAACTGCGTGAAAATGTTGTGCGTACGTAAAACACGAGTGTGTGCGCTGCAGACAGCGGTAAAGCATCGGTAGCAAGTCGATCTTACAATATTTAATGAATAAGAAAAAAAAAATTTGCTTATTTTTTTTTTTTTTCACTTCCATCCTTTGGAAATCTATAAAAACTGCAATAATGACTCTCAGAATGATGGTTACAATCGGGTACAAAACACGACACGCAGTTAATGTTACCAGAGCATATGATTGTGTAGAACCAGTAGGTTCGTTGTCATGCCACCGTGACGTCATCACTTCGGTACTCTATAGTGCCTTATCGGGAGGAGTGGGGGTATTATCGGGTGGTGCAACCTAAGATGACACGGCACACGACTGATCTCGGCGCCCCCTAGTGGTACAAAGGCATCGTGCGAAGACACGGCATCGTTAGCCTAATGATCGCACCAATGTCGATATGCCTCGGGAAAACTCGTTGTGACGCGTGCCCGACTTCACGCAGTGGTTAGCGCGAAGTGGGGTCTGTGGGAGAGATGATGGGCCCCTCCAGCTGCTGCTGCTGCTACTCCTAATACTGCTGCTGCTACTTCTATCACTGCTACTGCTGCTGCCTTTAGCACCGCTGCTGCTGCTACTGCTGCTGCTACTGCTACTGCTGCTGCTGCTACTGCCATTGCTACTGGTGATATTTCTGCTTCTCCTAGTATTAGTATTACTACTTCTGCTGTTGCTGTTGCCATGACTATTACTACTACTACTACTATTACTCTCTTAATAGATGCATGCTATTGTCATTTCTCCTCTCCAACTCAGGTTATTTAGAGCACCCTAATATCCCAGGCTAAAGAATGACTAATTCTACACTATTTGTACCTGTATAGGCCGAATTATTTGATCACTATTTAATTGCAACTTATACCTCACTAACAAAGATGATTTGGCTTCAGTAGGCTGTTTTACTTATATTATTGATTACTCTTATATTATTATTATTATTATTATTATTATTATTATGTCATTAGGCACGTTATTAGTCAGCCGAGCAACTAACCGTTTAACATGGTAAAACCATTCACTAAAACCTCGCGATAACAGTGATAGGACGGCCGAGAGGCGTTCGGATGTTTTACGGCGCGCGACGACAGCTCGGCCCGGCTCACCTTCGTGCGGACGATGTTCTTGTCAGTGTCGGCATCGTCCAGCATGTCGATCTCTCCCTCGTCTATCGTGCTGTCCGAGTCGTAGCCGGGGCTCGAGCTTGCCGCCCCGCCACCCTGCTGCTGCTTCTCACCTCCTCCTCCTCCTCCTCCTCCCTCCTCCTGCAATGGAACAATCCTTTATATAACTCACTCAAGGAGAAATGCCAAAGGTTGGGGTGGGGGGGGAGCGGTTACTTTCGGGACGCAGGTTTCCGTTCCGTGGAGGTGGTTTCATTGACTAGCCGCGACAGCACTCAAGGAAAATGTCTAAGTGTGTCCTTTATAGACAGACGTTCACTCTATCTGTCTATAGAGGTCAGTGCTAATGTGGGTTTTACTATATTGTTCGATGTAAACATACACTCGTGACTCATACGTAGCCCATAGCAAGCAATTAATGTCAGGATTATAACATCAAATCGTCCAGGTTTTTTGGATTTTTAACTAGTTGAGAAACAATGTTATCAGGTAAGAATTTGAGGATACATCTAGTGCCGTTAGTAATTACTTTTCTTGTAAAACAATTCATGTAACAAAATTTTTACAAATATACACCATAGAAAATTCGTGACGTAGTCAATTTAACAGATATTGTGACTACTGACAAAAGACGGCCGACGTACCTGCTGCTGTACTACAGTGCCATAGTTGGATGAGCCTTCAGTTCTATTCACTATGGGATTCTCCAGATTTGAAGTGCTATCTAAGCCAGACAAGTGCTCATGCTCCCCACGGTGCTGCCTGCAGCAACATGAACATATTCGCTTAAACACTAGTGCAAACTCTCACAACTTACAATGCAATGTAATAATAATTATACATATGCAATATACAATGCAATAATAAATAATCGACGACCAAGCGTGATCAATCGTTGGTTGCAGAGGTCTAAACAGCCACAATAGCCACGAGCAACGAGTTCCCATACACCTGCTATGCCCACTTACATACAGCAATCACACTCATACGCATCATGTATACGCACTCGAGCTACATTTGCGACAGGGGTTAAGCACAGGGCTACTAGTCACATCATACGTACGTAAGATAGTGAATGAAGGCGACAACTGCGGCGACCAGGTAGAAGAACAGGAAGACGCCGACGGTGACCCCGATCGCGATCATGTACTTGGTATCTGTCGGCAAGAAAAAAAATCCCACGCAGCTGTGTTAACGGCCGCGGCTGCATCCCCACCCACTACGAGCTCGCAAATATGCCATGGTATTACGGCGTGTTCAATTCCAATTTTCTATGCTATAACAGCAAAAATTCTGAAGTGTTTTTCAAGTTGCTGTAATCAGTAATATATCCGCTTAATTAGGCGAGACTACATTTCGCTACATTTTTTTCAGATTATGCGTTTTTGAGTAATGATTTCTAAATAAATCCTTTAACGGCCACGCAGCGTCCCCACCTCCTACGAGCTCGCAAATAGCTGGCGACCTTCCAAACAACCGCTTACGCAAACCTCCTCTACGATAACCGATCACCAAGTAGCAAATTAAATGCGCACGCCGAACCACGAATGGGCGACAGCTAACAGACGCCAGCGCCATCAAAGAAACGCGTAACGACAGCGATCCCTGCCCCCGAGCGAACATCATGAAATTAAGGGATTCAATCAGAAACTAACGGAATTCGCAAACTGAGACGGAAATCGAGGTCAAGGACACTCAAGGACTCACAGCTGATGGACGGCTCGACGATGACGGACAACGTCTTCAGTCGTCCCAACCCGTGAATGGCGGCGGGTTCGACGATGGCGATGTCCGTGCACGCGTAGTCGGTCGCTCGCACGACGAAGACAACGTAGAACGCCTTGTCCTTGAAGCGCGCCCGCTGCGACAACGACAACGCTCGTTTAACACGTGCATTACATTGTTAATTTGCATCATCCTCGTCGTTATATCAAGCGTTATCATCATCGTTATTATTGTTATAATTATTATGATTATTAATAATACTCTTATCGTTATCGTTACTTTTGCCGCAATTGTTGCTGTAATTGTAATTGCAATTGTTGTTTTTGTTGGTGTTATTATTAAATTATTATTATTATTATTATTGCTATCGTTATTATTATTATTATTATTATTATTGTAAATAACAATTAATTACAGGGAAATTTACCTCAACCGTGATGGCTGCTTGTTTTGTCATCGTCTGGTACACACCGGTGAATTCCACGTTACGATCAAGGTCAAACACGGGACACTGGCAACAAATCAAGAAAGACGAAAGGCTCAGTATTTCACGTGGCGAATTCAGAACGCACGCCGGCACGTAATCGCTGCGACGCTAAAACGCATCATCCCATCCTCGACTCGGCCACATTCGCCTCTCCAGTATCCCCTCGTATTTAAAATAACACTATTTTTTTCCGATTTTGAGAGTTTCCTTTCACAATCACACGTGTCCATACTGCACTGCATTCATTATTCATCGTAATCAGAGTGAGCGAGCTGTGCCAACTGCTTGCATTCACAAATCCAAGCATTCACACAAATCAGCACTTATTTCTCGTATCGCGCGCGGCAGGCACACGGCAACGATTGAGGGAAGACACACTGATTGTCCGAAGACAGATTTGAAGGAAATTGAAATCTGTGAAAGACTGTAAAAACTGAGAAAGATTTGTCTGTACAGCAAACAGGAGGTTTGGCAGGAATATAGGCTTCTTTTCTATGAAGCAGATACATTAAAACTTGTATATAAGTTGTTCAAGAGAAATGTCTGATGTGTCCTTTATAGACAGATGTCCGTACTACAGAGGTGAGGGCTAACACAGGTTTCAGTGCGCTTAGGACACCAAGGGGTCCATGCACGCACATACATACACTCTATACACACTAACGCAGACACACGCACGGCCGTGCACTCACGCGTTAATACACTCTACACACATACTCATTTCACTCTCACTCACTCTACACCCCTACATATACTTTATACAGACACACACAGAGACACAGGCACGTGCATACACACACACGCACGCACGAACGCACACACGCATTAACGCACGTACGCACGCCCACACACTCATGAACACACGCATGCACACACGCACACCCACACACCCTTACATTTGTGCTCTGTATCGACAGATCCATACACAGGCTGTCACTTGAAGTGGCTTTTACGGTAACACTGTGCACTTCAGGGTCGTCTGGGAACTTAAACTCGTAGTAGATTGGTTCGGACGGCGACACGTCCAGCCTCCTCTCCTCATACATACTGAAACACGAAGCCATGCACATAGACAGCACACAACAACAGAGAGCATTCTTGTTCTCCTACTGCACACATACACACCCGAGTTTACTCTCAACTCGGGAATTATTTAAACAAAATATACGAGTAATATTTCATATTCATCGACCAGTTACTTAGGGAATCAATGTTTTACGTGAAATAAACATGCGTACAAATGACACAACATTAATGCGATTCTCGTTTGAAAGAATTGATTATTTCGGAAGTTGCACAAAATTGCAGAGTAGACCTAGCGACGTTCCAGCGCTCAGGCACACTTTATGAGAAAACATATCAACTATAGAGTGGTTTGGAGTGGTCACTGAGAATATAATCAGTGAGAGCTACTCCACTGTCACCACTCCTGGTCCACACCTCGCCATTCCTACAACACTCTGGCAGCAGCACTTAATTCACGAAGGCACATCCAAGCACTGAGAGAAACCACACCATCGTAACAACACTAATATTATCAGTAAATTCACGGAGGCATACGTGGTCCCAGCATTACGAGAAACCTTTCCATAGTAAATACCATGTGTCCCTTTATCAAGAAAATCACGAAGGCACACCCCATCATTGAAAGAAACCACACCATCCTAACAACACTCTAACAGCAGGAAATTCATGAAGGGACGCCCCAGCATTACGAGAAACCTTTCCATAGTAAATACCATGTGTCCCTTTATCGAGAAAATCACGAAGGCACACCCCATCATTGAGAGAAACCACACCATCCTAACAACACTCTAACAGCAGGAAATTCACGAAGGGACGCCCCAGAAAATTGCACGAAACCTTTCCATGATAAACACAACCAGTGTCATTACATCAATAAAATAACGTGGGGCAAACCTTAGCAGTAGCATTGCAGTAAATCTCTCTCTCTCTCCACAGCGAACAACACCAGAAACGGCAATAAAATCGCAAAGGCACGCCCCAGCATTGTGATGAAGTCTTCCAAACTGAACAACACTGTCACCACACTAACAACACCGCGAAAACGCATGCCAGACGGACGCAGTAGAAACTCCACTTACCCTATCTCAAAGTTCTCCAGTTGCTGCGCGTAGAGCGTGAAGGCTGTGAGGTTAGGACTGAATGTGGAGATGTCGACGTAGGCCAGCTGCTTGCGGTCGACGCTGCGGCGTCCACTCCTGTAGTTCTCCGTGGGACACAGCGTCCGGTTGACCGTGCTGTAGTCGAACCTGTAAGAGACACGCCATTAGTGCTCGTCCCCAGCAGGCTGTTAGCCAGGAAAAAAATCAGGGAGTCTCACCATCTGAGCAAAGGGGGATGTTGCGGGCGTGAAGCGCCCCAGGGGGAGGGCCTTACCTTAAAATGGAGGAAGTTTAGTCTGAAATGCCAAAAAGACAGCAATCTGATATGATTTTATATTCTTATAAGCGCTGCTGTCAGTTATACAAGGTGTATAATATATAAAATTGGGCCACCCTCATGCCATCTCTATCAAATTTCATTCGTCTCATCCAAGAATAGGACAGGTAGACTGGTCTCTGGCTAACACACTCGTTCCCAGCACTGCTGGGAGAAGCACAGTGCAGGGTAGCTCTAGAACCTATAGCCCTTCACTCTGCCACAGGCCTGTGGCAGAGCGAAGGGCTATAGTTCTATAGCTAAGTGCAGGAAAGCAGGGACATGATAAGGGGCAATTCTATGCTTTGGTGTACAGCAACCAAAAAATAAATCCCTGGAGGGAGTACGTGAACGAGAGATTCATTCATGTACTCCTGGTGATAGGATTGCAATTGCAGTCGTAATGAATGATTGCGATTGCAGTCATAATGGTAGTAATAATAGTGAATGACGTGCCCTCGCTATACCTTTGATGTCAACCCGACTCGGCTCGCGTGCGTGACACATTCAATCAGACTGTGTAAATTGACATCACCTAAGCCATTTCACTAGTGATGACCTGATGATCATTTGTCTTATCAATGGGATGTCACATATATTATTGTAAATATCATCAATTTCAGTTTTATACTGCCTGATGATATCTTATTTGCAAAATTTATTTTAATTGTAACGTTGTTAACACTAGTTTTGCAATAAACCTAAATTATCTATCTATCTATCTACCTATGATCGATTATCGTATTATTGTATCGAGTAATTTATTTTAGGAAAAATTATCATCAAACAAAAAACAGTTGATTTAAAAAAAATAACTATTTTAGAAGAAATTATCATAGTATAATCATTATCAATTAGCAATGTCTTGAATAAACAAATCTTCGACAGTTGTCTGGTTAATTTATTGCTTTCATTATAGCTTGGAGTTCAGTGGGTACAAGGTTTCAGTCATCCAATATCTAGCATTTACAATCAATGGGATTAACACACTGTTGGCAAGTGTTTGAGTCAATACTATTCCCATGTCGAATATGCGTCCCTGTTTGATTGGTACTGTATCTTAATGGCACTGCGATCGTAAATAAAATCCGCATTGAAACGTGTCGGAAACGTGACGCACATAACAGCGGCAGACGAAACGCGCAGCAGCGTATTGCGAGCATATCGCTGAGGGAAACCACGGGGTGATGAATAAATTAATATTTTATTCGCCATGCGAGAGTTTAGAAAGCCGCTGGCTGATCTTTTTCATTACTTTGCGTAAAATTCAGCAGCACATACATTACTCATTATCCCCTGCTGCGCGTGTGCTAGAGATATAGCGATGCGTCCAATCTACACCGGTCGCGCTAGCTGATTGTTCGGCTTCTATCTCTGAACTCATTTGATTCTTCTTTTTCGCGTTTTGCATGATTGCAGAGCCGGTCTGCGTAATTCTGTCGGCATACGTTTGTTCACGTTGCCACGCATGCTGTAGCCATGGCAACAAAGTTTTTTTCCCTTTAGGTAAATGTTTAAAGCCACAATAAATGAGCATCCCCTCTAGAATCTCGCACAAATTATGCATTCTGGTGGGGGTATTAGATTTTCTCTGAAATACTTTTTGCACATAAGGAAGCGAAAATCATTTTGAAATTTGACACTATACGCATCATACGCATACTAACGTGACGAATATTACTGTCACAAAAGTCACAAAAGTCACTGTCACTAAATGTCTACTGTCACAAAAGTCTAACAAGAGCCGCAGAGCGTCTGGGCTCATCTGGGGTCTGTTGCTACGGTTATGAACGTACAATTTCAGTCGTGCGTAGTGACACATTTGTTAGGCGCAGATATGCAGATACGCAGTTGCGTACACATCATTGTTAGGACACGCTCAATAACCCCCCCCCCATGCGATTTTGGTTTATTTTATTAAATGATGCTTGCCTTTCACTCGAATTTGTGTCATAGATTCACAGCTATCTATTTTTATCTATTTATAAAAGATTTCAACATATGAGCATGGATCTCCAAGTTTATTAGAGGGGGCGGGGAGTCCTTCTCTCCCACCTCCCTCCCCACTGCGTCCCACCTCCCTCCCCCTGCCTCCCACTTCACTCCCCTTGCCTCTCACTTCCACCCCCTTACCTCCCATCTCCCTCCCCTGCCTTCGACCTCCTCCCCCCTGCTCCCACCTCCCATCCCCTTGCACACCATCTCGCAACGACTAATTGTACCCCGTTTCCCGCTCGCATACACACCGTATCACCGTTTTCCTGTCCCCGGTCTCAATTTACTACTCTCTCTCTCTCTTATCTTAGACTTTCTCTCTCTCTAATTAATATAATAAAAAATTAAAACCCAGCGATGATGCCTTTACTGCCCCTCAATAATACTTTCTTCTATGCCTATGAGTGTAACAGTCATAGAAATCATAATATATAGGTGTCTCTAATATTTCTATGGTAACAGCTTATGTTCGCACAACTGGTAAATGGATACGCACGGCCCATAGCTACATGATATATGTTAAGATTCAAGATGAAAAGTAAATATTATATATTATATGGTACTAGTTATTATTTATTTGTTTAACAAAGTTACATGAGAATAAAATCTAATTTAAACTAGGCCTATAGTTGCCGCGAGATGGCGCGTGCAAGTGTAATCAATAATCAAAGATGGCATCGTTCCTGAAATCCTACAGTAGGTACAGGCTAAAATCCAAGTAAGTATATTCAGGCAGGCGATAATTTTGCTCAGCTGTGAGTTAACAGGTGCATTGCAGGTTGGCAGGCAACAATTATGATTAGAAGCGTGCCAGCCATGGCTGCCGCCGTGTTTTTGCCTCATGCGAGCATTCACCGATTCATCATTCAGCCTTCAGGCCAGGGGCAGGGTGCTATAGACAGACTGCTTTAGAAAATCATATGATTTAAGGAGCGTAAACCTTGTTCAACAAACATTTGCCTTTGCAATTAAACTGTGCAACTGTAGCCTCACATTGACACAGGTATGGGCTCTAATAATAGCAAAAGCAGTTCAGTCCTTTGTTAACAGTCAACAAATCAATGTTAACCTCCTCTTGAGGGTCAAAAGGTTATCCGACACTTACTCTCGGCATGTCAGTGAAAGCATATTTCATGGTCCTTTCAATAAAGCCATAAAAATGCTAGGTCACCGCTGAAACAAAAAAGTTTTTCAATCACTCGTCCAGTCAGACCATGTCCTCAGAAAATGTCTAAAATCTGCCCTGTGCCCCATTGACCTTTGACCTGTGACCATCCAATTTCGGCACAGTGATGGCTTTTCCTACCATGATGCTATACACCGACTATCACGAGCCTAGGTCGAGCCGTTTAGATTTGTGCCGCAATTCTGCATTTCCTCCCTATACCTTAAGTTAAGGAGTGAATGTTCCCCCTTCTTTTACACCTCTTGACCTTTGACCTTTGACCCCCAGCTTCGACATCCCAACTCGTTTTCGGATTACCCCCCACGTCCCGAATATCGTGACCGTACGTAGAGCGGTTAAGATTTGTGCCCAACTGTTGACGGACGGACGGACGGACGCTCGGACGGACGGACGATCATGCGATTCTACAAGCTGCATCTGACTATGTCAGATGAGCTAATAAAATAGATAAAGTCATGCCAGTTTCATATTTATTAAACATTTAATCAATCCGAATGCAAGTTTGAACTCCCTCTGTCACAAGTCATGCACCTCGGAACACGGTCGCTCAAAATTCCTTTGCTATCATAACAAGAAGAAGTTGAATACATCACACACTTACATGTCCTCGAGGAACAGTGGAACCTGCCACGAGATGACACCCCGCTGCTGTCGTATGACGAACAGTACCGGATAGTTGGGTGTCGCATTCATGCTGCTCACACTGATTCTAACCGGACCGATCTAGAAGGTAAATTGAAAATGGTATTAGTTATGACACACAAAGGGTCGTGATGGACTCGCTTAAGATTTTAATATTTCACATCCATTTTCAACAACGCGAGACAAATGTCAACTAAAGCAAATCCTCGAGCAAACATTAATTTGCGTATTGGAAACTAATGGGAAATTGCTAGAAGGTTGAACTGTGAATGGACTAAACTAGTGCTGCAGAGCGCCAGGGCTTAGCTAATTAATGCACAGGCCTGTGCTTTTGCTGGTGCTGCTGCTGCTGCTGCAGTTGCCACTCTTGATATACTGCTGCTGATGCCACTGTTGGTACTACCACTGGTGCTGCTGCTGCTGTTGTTGTTGTTGTTGTTATTATTATTAATAATATTATTATTATTATTATTATTATTATTAATTTATCAATATTAGTAGTAGTAGTATTATTGCTACTACTGCTGTTGCTACATTAGCTATTGTTGCTGCTACTGCTGTTTCTACTACCACTGCTCTTGCCTTTCATGAACGAATGAAACGCCAAGTATTCTGCATCTAGGTCGATGACAGAGTCATGAGTGTGCTCGGCATAATACACGCACTCAACATACAACTCGCGATATGCGAAGCATGCTATGCACAATAACGGCTGAGAAAACGATAACGAGTGCATTTTGTATGAATTAATCTCCAGAAAGTATCAGACGGAATGCAATGAGGTGTGCCACTGTACTTCTCGCAACCTACAGGAGCGACTAATGCTACCTATATAGTGCGTCGGTTGTATATAAGCCAAATGAATTGTGAAGTTCACTGAACGTACACAAAGAATGCAATTCAAGGTACTGTTTAACCGAGCTTTGATGCTTCAATGAGCAAAATCAATAAGAAATAATCCGAGTTTCGATGCATTGATGATGAAAATTTCACTACACATCATCAGGTTTCACAGTAAATACAAGTAAGGGCAGTAACTGTAGGTGTAGTATTTTTGTGATTTACAGAGAAAATCGAATTTGAACCTTCACGAGGGATAAATTAGGTTCATCGGATGCCTTCCTCTGCACACGTCAGTGGACAGTACATTTCACAATTACTTTAACAATATAAATATTATATAATAAATAATAAAATAAAAACAATAATAATATATCACTTTAATATTTAGTCATCACTTTAATTTTTCAAAATATATATTTAGTAGGGAAAACGGCAGATCAGCCTTGAAACAGAGCTGTCTTACGTACTGGGTTTATTTACTAACGTCTTCGATGATCCCACGAATGAGCCCTACAATGATCCACCTATATGAGCTTGATTTTTAGATGGAGGACGCATCTCAGCATTACCTTACATCATGAGAGTAAAGAGCATGCAAGTCGAGTGCTATGCAGCTGTCCGTTTACGCTCAACACAGGATCTATAGGTGCGTACCTCGAGTTAAGAAACCACACGTTCACCATTCTCCTCCCTGGTCATTGACCTTTGAACTGTTGGTTTTCCCCAAGATCCGTCTGTTCGGATTAAATGTCGAATACGAACATCGTATTTGAAGCCACACCTGACAGACAACCTGTATAGATCTATGTAAATATTTAAACAAATTTCCTTTGTAAATGGAGAGGTTTATTCCATTGAACCTCATATAGCATACTAGCTGGGCTACCCGGCGATGCCCGGGATTTTTTGGGGGTTACTGCTTTTCTGCTATTTCATGCGTTTAGCTGGGCTACCCGGCGATGCCCGGGATTTTTTGGGGGTTACTGCTTTTCTGCTATTTCATGCGTTTTGTGCTATTGCTTGCGTTTCGGCATTTCATGCGATTGCCTGATTTTGAGCCTGACTATAGTTGAGCGCTATAGGATTGCAGTTCTAGGATTCGTCTTGACTTTTCTGCTGCAGTTGAGAATAGTCTTTCTGAATCTGATTACCTGGATGATGAGTGAGAGTAAGCCAATGTTCATGCACTAT